TTTTCCTGAATTACCGCTAGGTGTGAATTTTAGCCTACTAAAATTGCCCTATCCTCTCTGAAAAGCGTTCCGCACATTCAGCTGACATAAACCACATTTTGAATAAACAAAAAACCTATCCAGTGATTAAATGTTTTCTGTGTAGACACAAATCTTGTGCGATGTCCTTTAGTCCTTATCTGCTAGGATAATCACACAACGCCTGCCGTGTGTGTCAGCTAATGGCACGTCCGATTCGCGAACTAATGACTCATTTGAACCGATTCACTTTTATGAATGGTTAAAATAACTGATCTGTCCTACATCTGTCTCTTCAAAAGAGATCTGAATCGGTGTATAACAAATCGATAACACCAAACTAGTTAATATTAACTATTCATAAACCGCACTTCTTAATCTTTATAAATAAATAGCATTTATTAATCTTTGGTAATGTTAATTTCACTATTTACTAGTAGCCTTATTACAATTAAAAGTTCTATTTGTTAACATTAGTTAGCCTAATGCACTGTGAAGTTATGTGAACAAACAACGAACAGCTGTATTTTTATTAACAAAGAATAATAAATACAGTAACAAATGTATTGCTCATCATGGTTCATTTATATTTTACTGCCTTTTTTCTCCATTGCCAATCCTATGATAATTATATACAGGATAGTGTTCATCCAGAACAACATGTAACTGTGTAACCACACGCTAGCAACCGTTTAAAGCTACCTCCTCCCCCAACCACATTTCATTGACAACCTAGGAAGTCGGGGAAGGTCTCGGTTTGAAGTTTCATTACAAGCTGTTCACACATTGGCAATACAAAAAGTGACACAGGTGAAAGGGTTACCTGTATTAGACGTCATTTATCGTCCCTCATTCTGGCCTAGTTTAATCTGGGGATCACAGTCTTGGGTGAGCATTGTACTACCGATCGCTATCAGCCAATAATCGCTTTGGGAAGTTTGATCGGCGGTCTCTATAAAGACTGACCTCAAGTGTAAATCTACTCAAGTACTGTAATGAAAGTATTTGTAATTAGTTACTTTCCACCTCTGCAGTCAACACAGGAATTGTCACTTGCACAATCGAGGCAGTGTCGCATCGTCACTAAAGTTTTGGAAGAATTGGCACTTCAGTGGGCCTTTAAATGCTAACCAACAGTTCACTTTAACATCAACCAAAAGCCAAATAGCTATTTAATCATTGTTTAAGGCTGCTGTTGTGGTAATGCTGCCTTTCTAAAATCATTTAAATAGGTAACAGTAATTTGACATTTTAAAATGTCTTATTGAAGAACTCTGAGCTTTCTGGAGTTTCTGTATTCCTATTCATCTGTAAGGGTGTTCTCCTTACACACTGTAATCTGGAGCTTTGTCATATTTAAGAGCACAAATCAAAAATGGACTTCTCTTGAGAGACACGTAGACTGTGATTCAGAGCCGCCTTTGATTAACAGATTAGATGTTTTTGGGTTGGAGCATGAGATTCCTCTTCTCATTAATTCCCAGTACGTGGTATTGGGAACGACGAGTCGTTCTGAAATCACTCCACTCACACTTTTCCTAACTGCAGTTATTTACTAGACTCTGGCGACAGGCAACACTGAGATCAATGCTAAACTTTCATGCTGATTTCATTTTCAATAGCCCTTCATCTCTTGTAAAATGTGAAATATTGTGCGCTGTCGAAAGGATTTTGGGTTCCCTCAGAGGCAGGGAAATGTATTGCTTTCATGCACCTTTTGCCACTTAGGAAAACAATTTTTTGTTTGTGTCGTCTGTAGCCATGGCAGTGGACAGCTCCTATTCTATAGTCCAGGGGTCTTCAACGGGGGTCCTTGGCGACATCACAGTGTGCCTAATTTCTGTGAAATTAAAGTGTTACAAAAAAGTTGACCTTTTAAGTCTGGCTAAATGTATTTTCCACATTGGAATGTATTAAATAAAATAAATGTATGTCATAATTTTAATGCAAATTACACTTTCATTCAAAAGTCCGGGGTCAGTAATATTTTTTTTAATAAAAAAAGAAAGAAAAAAAATACTTTTAATTAGAAAGGTTGCATTAAATTGATCAAAAGTGACAGAAAAGACTATTATAATGTTACAAAATATACTTTTTGAAATAAATGCTGCTCATTCGAACTTTCTTCTCATCAGAAAAACCTGTGAAAAAATTATTACAGCTTCTACAAAAATATTAAGCAGCACACTTTTTTCAACATTGATAATAATAATTATTTTTTAGCAGCAAATCCGCATATTAGAATGATACCTGAAAGATCATGTGACCCTGAAAACTGGAGTAATGATGCCAAAAATTCAGCTTTGCATCAAAGGAATAAATAACATTTTGAAATATATTACAATATCATTTTTATTTTATTTTAATATTTCACAATATTACTGTATTTTTGATCAAATAAATGCAGCCTGGCTGAGCGGTAAGAGAATTATTTTAAAAAACACAAAAAAATAATAATAAAAAACGACCCCAAACTTTTGAATCCAAGTGTAAATAAACATTTATATATAAATGCATATTGTAGGCCAGGCTGAAAATGCACCATTTTATATATTGAATATGTTTAGTTCCCTGAGGACTATTGATGTCAATGATGTTGTCTGTGCCATAATCAAGTCAATTTATTTTGTGTTTATCATTTCATCATACCGTCTGCTCCCAGCTCTACTCAGCCATTGATGAACTAAGTAACTGAATTTGTTTCTGTCCTGTTGAACTATAAGTCTATTAAAATGTATTAGATTGTCACAGAGATACGTTGATTTAATTTTGCCGGCGTGTTATTGGAGAAATAAAGCTTCCTTTGGGTCTTAGCTGCGTGAGTGTGACGATCGTGGCGGATACGCTGACATTATGACTCCTCCTTGTCTCACAGGGATCAGAACAGTACATTACTGAAGAAAGCTTTCCACCTGTTGCCTTCCTCTGGAAATATAATTCAGTCAATTTGCAATGAGCAGATTCTCACATAATCTTGTATATGTTTGTATATTAAACATTTTGGCCATTTTTAATGTGCAATTTATTTATTTTACAAGTTGAGGGTTTTGGGTAATCAACATCACACCACAGATATTGTCGATAGAGCTTGAGTTGTTTTAAACCTGTAACACTCCTTTAATATTAAACTTAAATTTTGTGCAGCCAAAGGTTTGTTTATTGCCTGTTTCACATCTTCAGTTTTTGTCTTGCAGTGTGGCTCACACAATCCCAATCCATTTATAAAACTCTACTCAACAATATTTAATTAGGATGCAGTTTATCAATAATGTGGAGGCCTGTGAAAATGTCTGAATTTTTTTATATTGAACAGCATGTGGTTTGCTTGAAAACAGCGTAATTATAAACTCCCCACGAGTAGAAATGTCAAGCGAAAGCTGAAGATGTTTGAGAGTTTTCGAGCACTTACAGGCCACTATGTAAATTAGGTCAGGCTTATGAATCGTTATTGTTTCTGAACAGAAAAGAGGAAACTTTGGTTCTGCCTGGAGACAGCACTGCTCATTAGGGTACCATGAGTTCAAAGACAGAGACTCAGCTGTCCCTTTGACTCTATGTATAAAAATGCTTTATATTTTCCTTTTTTCCCCTTAAAGGGTTAGTTCACCCAAAAATGAACATTCTGTCAGTAATTACTCACCCTCATGTTGTTCCAACCCCGTAAGACTTTCGTTCATCTTCGGAACACGAATTAAGATATTTTTGATTAAATCTGAGAGCTGGATCACTCCTCCATAGGCTTCTTAAGGGATCGAAACTGGCCGGCCCAAAAGTTATGAAAGACATCGTTAAAATAGTCCGAGTGACTACAGTGGCTCAATCTTAAGTTTATCAAGCGACGAGAATACTTTTTGTGCGCAAAAAACAAACAAAAATAACGACTTTATTCAACTACTCATTTCCTTCCCAGTGGGCCTTGAGATTTCACGTAGTGAAACTGCGCAAAGCTTCTAGGTTGTACGTCACACGCATCACACACATGACCAGCGTCGGCCAATAGTGAGCCTACGTGTGACGTACAATACAGAAACGCTGCGCTGTTAGACTACGTGAACTCAAGTCAGAGGCCCACACAGAAGGAAATGAATAGTGGAATAAAGTCGTTATTTTTGTTTGATTTCCGCAAAAAAAGTATTCTCGTCACTTGATAAACTTAAGATTGAGCCACTGTAGTCACTCGGACTATTTTAACGATGTCTTTAATAACTTTTCTGGGCCGGCAAGTTTCAATCCTTTAGAAGCCTATGGAGGAGTGAGACAGCTCTCAGATTTAATCAAAAATATCTTAATTTGTGTTCCGTAGATGAACGAAAGTCTTACAGGGTTGGGACAACATAAGGGTGAGTAATTACTGACAGAATTTTCATTTTTGGGTGAACTAACCCTTTAATTATTGTTTGGTTATTGTTTTAGTTTTCTGGATGCATTTTTGCACTGTTTACTGGTTTATTCAGCTGCTGCTGTTATCATATTTAGTTTTTTTTTGTAGTGTTCAAAGGTTTGTATCCTCACATCATTGGAATATTTTATTTATTTATTAATTTTTTTGTATCTTTTTTTAAATTGTTTGTCATTTTATTTTTTCACATTTTAAGCAGAGGAAATGGCCCACGTGTAATAATCTTTTGGAGAAATCATACAGTGACACTCAATAAAAGTCCGACCTGATTTACAGTTAAAATGGCCAATATCACCTTTGTTTACTCTTGAATATGCATGTAAACTAGCTTGACCAGCCTGAAAAATTTAGTTTTTGGCATGATTTGAGCTAAAGAATCATAATATATGATACCACTGCTATCAAATTTTATTCCTGGTTATCAATATAATCTGATTATCCAATAATATATTATTTAAACATGATATTGACAGTTTTGAAATATTGATTATGCATTTTTGTGAGTAAAATGAGGTCTGTCAGAGCAGGTTATGATGTGATATTTTTTTTAATCTATTGTCATGTCATCATTGATTCATTGCAGTGCTCATCATCCTGTGGGCGGGGCTTGCAATCCAGAGTGGTCCAATGCATGCACAAAGTGACCGGTCGGCATGGCAGCAACTGCCCAGTAGTCCTGAAGCCCCCCACGTACAGGCAGTGTCATCAGGGGGCATGTAACGTAAAAGTCAATGTAAACACCATCACCTCCCCTAGACTGGGTAAGACTTTACAGTTAAAGACGTTTGTGTATCCTGATTTATAGACTAGAGCTGTTGCTAGGACACATGAACTTCATAATTCTTGAAGGGGCCATGGCATTTCAGACGGTGTGTCCCCCTCGATAAAAATCGCGTTTCGGGGGGCGGGGTTACAAATTGAAACAAATCAGATCTTAGTGGACAATGCCCCCTTTTGCCCCCTCGTGGCACCAGCTTGTATACACTCGTGTCCAGCTGTTCATTATTTATCCTTGTTTCACCCAGTTTCAACCAGAAATGTCACACAAAAATATAAAACAATACATTTCCATCTCATTTTATGATGCATTACTAAAGTTATATCATATTACTGGATATTGCTTTAATTATAGCATCATCTATAATTATTTATCATTTGGGTTTAAAAGAAGAGCTTTATGATATAAACTTTATCGTCAGTTAAACGTCAGTTACAACTACAACTAAACCAAAACTATAACCATAAAAAAATGTATTAGGCCTACTTCAAAATAAATAAACATTAACTGAAATAAAATAAAATGTAAATAAAACTTGCTTATTTTATTTCACCTAGTTGATAAGGCAATATTTCTCATTTTTATTTAGTTTAAGTACTAAAATAACTAAACCTAAAGAAACTAAAACTTACAGTCTTTGCAAAAAACAAACTGATAAAAATGACGAAACACCCAACAAAAAAAACTACAACTAAAATTTAAATGATTTAAAACAGAAAATATAAAAATAAAATATAATTGAAAATATATATTAAAAAAATCGAAGTATATCAATCATTATTATTTTTCATAATTACACTTTTTCTTTTTCTTTTTACTTTGTCTTAAATGCAGTTCGTTTTATATTTATTTAAGTCATATCGGCCTGGTTTCACAGACAGGCCTTAGATTAAACCAGCATTAGGCCTTAGATCAATTAGTACATTTAAGTAGCTTTTATAAATGTGTAGAAAAAAACACATTACTGGTGTGCATCTTGAGACAAAACAACAAATATCAACAACTTTTATATCATGATAAACAATCACACCTAACATGGTCAATCAGTGAATTAACCAATCATCCAATAAATCAACGAAATCCAATGAAAAAAAAATTAAAGACATTTTTAACAATGATAGAAAATAAATAAATAAATAATGAGAAAATAGATTAAATAATGAGAAAATGTATATTCTGCAAAAAATTATTGAGATCAAAATCCAAATAAGACCTTTAGGACAAAGAGTTTCCAATGTATATACAGTACATTAGGGCTGGGTATCGTAACAAAATGTTCGATACCGATACCTTGACTTCGATACCGGTTCCTGAACGATACTTTTTTCGATACCAATTTTATGTAACCAGTTTTAACAATATAACATTACCTAATTTTTTTTTCTTTTTCAGTTTGTTTACTTTTTTACACTCATATTTTGAGTTTGTAAAAAAGCACCAATGCTAAAGTTTTCTATGTTTCCTAATCATTTAACAACATGTATTCTTTACTTCAATGAGCTCATTGTTTCTGCCTTAATGCATTGTTTAACAATGAAACTGAATGAAAATTAATTGAAATGCATTACACTGTCACCTCTGATAACAGATCACTCTAAATTGTAATTTAGACACATGCATTTTCTGTAAAGCTGCTTTGAAACGATATCTATTGTGAAAAATGCTATACAAATAAATGTGAATTAAATTAAATATAGGCTACTGGGGGGCGGGATATTTGCCTCGCGCTCAGCACGTGAAGCTTGCCGCAAAGCACTGGCAAAAGTAGCCTAATAATTATGGATGTGGAAACAATAGCAAGGAGATATTTTAATTATTTATTAATGAACAAGTGTTTACTAATGGTTTGTTCACACCGAAAGCGAATTTAATTATTTGTGCGAGTAGATTACATACAAAGTCAATGCAAAGACGTGAATAGACGCATCATTTGCGTATTTGACGCTCTATTCGCGTTCGGTGTGAACACACCATTACTCTCAAGTGTATTCTGTGCGCTTCTAACACACACACACACACACACTACAGCCTCACGTGCGACGAGCCGCGTCTCTGGGCAGCCGCATAAACTAGTGTTCCCTTTCGTTGTCACTCCGAGTTCCGTCGGATGACGACGAATGGGGTTTCGCTTAGAAAGCCTATCGACTTCGAGTATACAAAAACGAGCCAATGGCAAAGAAATGCCATGGGTCTGTGGAATTTGCATAGCGTAACTCCGCCTCACCTCGTGGGCATTTAAGGAGAACGCTGGCAGCAAATAGGCATGTTTTCGCTTCGGAGCCAAGAGCATCTCTTCACTCCACAGCCATTTCTGACTTCACTCTACGAGACGAGCCACTCTCTCCGGTGTTGGTGTGACGGCGATCTGCAGCGAGTTCACATTGCCTGCTGATCTGTGCAGTGATCTGCCAATGAGTGTGTTCTCCCTGCTCGCTTCAACATCGCGGAGTTGTTTTCTCCTCTCATAAAAGAGCTCGCACACGGCACGTCTTTTTAAAGACGGCTCGCCCGTGCATTTCTGGTTGCGGTCGACTCATTTCCGATTTTGATGGGCACATTCTCTGCTCTGCGTGCTTGGGCTTGATCACGTTAGAGCAGCGTTTGTGGATGACTCACGTTCTCCCCGCGGGAACGTGACCATCGCGTCATTACGGTCGAGACTCAATGATCTCGTTAGAGAGAGAGTCCCCTCATCGACACCCCGATCTAACACTCTCCACGTGAGGTGCTACTTCGGCTGGTGGCCAGGGTGACCTGAGGGTGTGAGTGTGGAACAAATCCGCCGACTGTTTGTCCGTGGACCACGCCCCCCTCTTCAGTGACGCAACCCGCGAGTGTTCAGGGGATTCCCCGGGTCTATTTTCGGATGCCCCGCGGGTTTCCCTTGACGCTCCAGAATCGGATCTGTTGTCCATCGCAGCATCACAGGGCGGGCTAGAATCTTCGGGAAGTGAAGATTCGACAGTGCTGCCACTTTCGGGTGTGCATATGGCATTTGTCGAGTCAGATCCTGAGATGACGGCCATGCTTTCCGGGGCCGCTGCGAGCATCGGACTAGAGTGGAACCTTTCACCCTGTCCGAGCGCTCGCTGCTGGACGATTGGTTTTGGGTGTGGCCGCTGACTCCTGTCGGCGTCCACTCCAATGCCTTTCTTCCCGGATGTGCATCAGGAGATCTCGAAATCCTCGAAGACCCCCATGTCTTCCAGCGATCCCTCGTTGATCTCCTCCGCCCTTCCTTCCCTCGACGGGGCCACTGCCCATGGGTACACTGGGGTCCCCCCGGTTGAACGCTCTGTTGCGATGCTACTGTGTCCTCAGAGTGCTTCCTCTCGGCGCGATCCTAAGCACCCGTCCAAAGCCTGTAATTTTTCGTCTACACTTGTGGCGAATTCCTATAGCGCTACAGGACAGGCAGCCGCCTCACTGCATGCCATGGCCATTCTGCTGGTCTACCAGACCCGGATGCTCACGGACATGCACGAGGGCGGGACTGACCCAGTGCTCTTCAATGAGCTGCGCGCCGCCACTGACCTTGCTCTCCGAGCGACGAAAGTGGCCGTACGCTCCCTGGGCCAGGTGATGTTCACCATTCTGTGGCTGAACCTGTCTGATGTGCAGGATGTCGGGCGGACCCATCTGCTTGACACCCCCATATCCCAGGTCGGCCTCTTCGGCGGTGCGGTTGAGGGCTTTGCCCAACAGTTCTCAACCGCCCACGAGCAGACTGAGGCTTATTCTGCTCCGACGGCCCCGCCGTCCGAGCAGATCCCTTGGTCTGCCCACCGCCGCAGGCGCCCTCCTGCGGCTCCCACCCCGCCCGTTCACCCGGGCTGGCTCTGGAAGCCGCAGGGGGACGCCACAGCCCTCTCCAGCCCCGCCCCCCGCTATACGCCGGGTTAAGCGGCACTCTTGAGATGGGCTGCTCAGAGATGGGACTCAGTTCTTTCCAGGAGCTGGTAGCAGGGCCACTCCTTTCCCTGGTGGAGGGCCGGGGAAGAATCCTTATTCCACAAAGAATTGACTCGCCAGTCTCTGAGCACACAGAGTTCTCGGACGACATGGTGCGCCGCCCCCGGGCCGTGCACCCCTCGTCCTCCTCTGTCCCAGAGCCGGATGACAGTGCGCGCCGTCCCCGGACCGTGCCGCTCTCATCCTCCTCTGTCGCCAGACCCCTGGCAGAGCAGACCCCCGTGGAATGTTCGTCCTTCCCTGGTCTCCTCTGTCAGGATGCGGTCTATGACTGTGCCCCCACACCGGGCCGCTATGCCGTCCACGTCCGGGCCAGTCATACCGCCTCGCTGCCCCACCGACGGGAAGTCTGTGGTTCGCGTGACCCCCGCTGGTACAGTTCTTGGGAGCCTGGCTAGAGCTTCCCAACCTGTCCCGCTGGGTCGCACGAATGATCAGGCTCGGCTACGCGATTCAGTTCGCGCGGTCTCCTCCCCGCTTCAGGGGAGTCCGCTCCATTATGGTCGGTGGCAATGCCCCTATCATGAGAGCGGAGGTTGCCACCCTGCTGGCGAAGGGTGCGATCGAGACTGTCCCTCCAGCCGAAATGAAGACCGGCTTCTACAGCCCGTACTTCATTGTCCCGAAGAAAACCGGTGGGTTACGGCCAATCCTGGACCTGCGCGTTCTGAACCGCTCCCTTCACAGGCTGCCGTTCAAGATGCTCACCGCCAAACGCGTTTTCGAATGTGTGCGGCACCAGGATTGGTTTGCAGCGATCGACCTGAAGGACGCCTACTTTCATGTCTCCATCCTCCCTCGACACAGACCGTTCCTGCGGTTTGCTTTCGAGGGGCAGGCATATCAGTACGCAGTTCTCCCATTCGGGCTAGCCCTGTCTCCTCGCGTCTTCACGAAGGTCGTCGAGGCAGCCCTTGTTCCCCTCCGGGAACATGGGGTTCGCATTCTGAATTATCTCGACGACTGGCTAATCCTAGCTCACTCTCGAGATCAGCTTTGCGAACACAGGGA